AATGCTCTGTGCATGGATTTTCTGCCACATCAGGTGATTTTTTTGGACTAATGTCCAAAAGCATACTGCTTGCTTATGTGGACAATGTATTGTAGTCTCCAGTGTCAACCAGAGATTTAAAAACTGTTATTTCTAATGTTGTGGCCTTCATAAAGTCTGAAGAGACATCCAGTTTTGTTGGGATTATATGGGACTGTATTTTTAGATCAGGTTTTGTAGTCATCTGAAATACAGAGTGACTAAGAATAAGATTATTGACACATGATTTTTGAATCAGTCAGTGTTTAGTCCTACTGAAATGTTTTCAAAGTTTTTGAGAGGTTTCACCTTTGAGGAGTACACAAGATCATATCCTGAAGAGCAGATCTTGAAGACCAAAGCCAGCATAATGCTCTAGTAGTCCAAGAAGCCACTACTGAGTTTGCAGGAAGTTTATTAAGAAAAAATTTCTTTAAGAAAAAAAAAAGCTATAAATATTTTTTGTATAGCCTTGATATAACTTCAGACATCCATAGGTTGGGTGATCTGTCAGATCTTTTCATAGATATGTTTATCTTTCAAGACAAATACAGCATTCCTGAATGAATAACTGACTTGGATGGTAGGAAGATAGAAACATTTTTAGTAAACATTTTACTCTTAATGTAATTACTGCTTCCTACTGTTTGGTCCTTTGTTACTGTTCTGGAATCAGTGTAGAAGCTATGTGATTTTTTGATTTTGATTTTTTTTTTTTAACTAGCTAAAAAAGTGTGTTTTACGCTCCTCCAAGTCTGCAGCAACTGCTTTTAACTTTGCAGAAAGTCCCATAGGTATTTTTTGGCTTACCATGGAAGCATGCTGTGATCAGAGATTGTTCCTTAAAGCAAAGGAACTTCAGAATACTTGGAGACTGATTTGACTTGAGCAGCTATGATGTAGCTTCACCACTTATGAAAGAGGTTATATATTTCAATAATAATTCGTTAACTTTGCTTTTTTGCTAGGTTGAGAAGGTTGTTCTAGTGTACCATTGTTGTGATCGTTAGAATCTAAATTTCAGTTTTCAAGTTTGAATGTTGCTTGTAACTAGTTTTCATTTGTTCCTATGCATTTGAGTAGAGTAGTTCTCTTCCTGCGGAAGGTCTTTTTGTACAGGCATACGAAATAGTCCTCTTTCCTTAGTGTCCCTGTGAAGAAGCTGAGCTCTTAGATTTTCCATCATCATGATGAGTGGGAACATTTATCTGTAGCTGTTTCACTTGAAATTTCTTTGTCTTGAACATGGGAAGCAAAAATTGTGTGTATTGCTTTGGAAGAGGTTGTTCTTATCGTTGTCTGTTTGTCTAGCATGTATGGGCTTTCTCTTTCTCTTCTGGATGTACTTTATTTTAGGATTTTAGTTTTCTTTTTGTTGTTCCATTATACGTGATGTATTGCAATGAAGACACAGTGATCTTTCCATGTTTCCAGCTATTTGCCTCAGTCCCTTAATGTGAAGGAAGTGAGATAGTGAGATAACGTTACCTACCTCAGGCTAGTACAGGCTTAGTTCACTGACTTTTTAAACAGTGCTGATGACTTGTGTTGGAAGGTGTGATAGAAGTGCATAGTGTTACTGTGTGTAGACCGAGTTGCATTTTTTTTTTTCTGGCAGTAAGTGTGTTAGTAAGTTATTTCTCATAGTCTTACTAGGTTCATGGCCTGTTGTGTTTTGTGCTGTTGACTTTTAGTTCCTTCAGTTGATACTGTTTGTGCTGTGTCCCAAATCTGTCCTCAGTGGATGATTTCCTAATGTTTATTTCGTCAATGGGCTCTTATTTTTTCTGTAGTTGCTAACAGAAAGGCCTGACTTGAGGAATTTCACTGGTAACATCCTTTTAGCTCTGTATGTCTTTCCAAAACCAATCAATAACTGCTATCCTTTCCTTAGCAGGTTTACCTACTCTGCATTTCTCCTACGAATCACAATCTGTTCCATTTGAACTAAGTTTTCGGTGCCATATCATGGCTGGGAAATCTAGCTAGGTTGAATGAATTATATTTTCTTGGTATATTAAAAAAAAATGAGTTATTTTCCTGAGGAAAGTCTGCTAAGCTTGTCTGGTGCTCTCTACTTTTGATTCATTTTAATTTTACTCGAATCTTTATTTTTTTTTTCTCCTGTGTCTCTTGTACTATCTATTGATAACAGGTCAGAAAGACTTATTATTGTGTTCCCTCTCTCTCTTGGTGGGAGACACCTGTTTCCAGGTGTGTTTTCATACAACAAATTATTTTTATGCATGTAAGACATGTTACTTCGTGTACTAGTTTCACAGTGCTGTTCTCCATGGTTTGGGGGAGAACACTAAGCTCTCCAAAACTGAAAGGAAAAGAGTAACTTCCCTTTTTCATTCTCATATTTCATCAACATTCCTCCCTTCATGATGTACCGATGTCCATCTGTTTCCTTGCTAGTGAAAGTATGGGCACATACCTTAGTTCTTGGGGTTGAGTCTACAAGTAATCTTAACTTAGTTCTTGTTGTGTAGCATCACTGGTTTTTCCCTGTTTCTGGCCAAAGAATCTTTACTACTCGCTTTGCTACCAGCAGTGTCTTAACGTGTTCATTCTTGGCAGCCCTTTGGGACAGCTTTTTCTGTGAGCGGTCTCTTCCCTTCACCATTGACAGCCTTTTATTCAGCAGGGGAAGGTTCCAGACAGAATAAACATTTTATCTTCTTTGGGATACAGTCTTCATATAGTTCTTGCATCTTTGATTTAAAAGGGATGGAGTGGAGAAAGGAGCCCCCTTCTTGCTTGCTGAAGTTACAGCTTCACTGATTTACTACAGCTTCCCCTTTTGCAACTTAACATGTAGTTTATGTTCCAAATGACCCAACTCCTCTGTGTTAGCTTTATTATTGAAGAAATTCCATTGTAAATTGTCATTATCAATCTCAAAATAATTCTACTGGGTAGCACACTCTAGCAGGCTTTTGCTCTTTAGTTTGTAATAGTAATTGTATCTTGGAAGCTTATCCCCAACAGTACCTTTTGTTCTTATAATATTAAGGATCTTTATTTCCGAGTAATTGTACCTCAGGCTTGAGGGGTTGTACTAAAAGGTCTTACTGCTGTCCTTTCCAAAAGCACTTTTTAAACCAGATTCTGGCCACATTTAGAGTAAAACTATTTGCACTGTACTGATCACTGTTCTTCTCCTTTACATAAGAAGGGACTGTCTTCCAACTAACAATCTAATTTCCAGGGTGTTCTTGAACATGGTCCATCCAAACCATTTCTTGCTGTGAAGGATTAAAAAAAGCCCATCATCTTAATAGTCTGACTTTTTCTTTCTATTTCTTATTTTTCCCCTCACCATGGTTAGCAAATAATTCTTCCCACAACATGCCTTCTTTTCCTTGTAAAACAAAAAGGCTTCAAATCTTAGGCTGTAGGACAACCCTGAAGTTCTCTTTATGAAGGACTTGAATGTTAGGAAGCTTGATACCTTGATGTTTCTTTTGTTGGAGGAAGGGAAAGGGAACAGCAATCTCTGTTAGCACTCCTTTGCCAGGTTTTTACTCTACATCTGAAAAGCTTATTCTTGGGCTGAAGTTCCTTCCTCTTTCTGCCTACCTCCCCAAACTATCTCCCCTTAATATGGTGAACTTTCTATGTACAAAAAGCAGCACAAAGGTGTAACTTTGCCTTGATCGTTGGATCTTGCTTAGCCTAAACTAATTCTGCATTCCTAGCTGTTGTGATGTTAGTGTCACTCGCTTGAAACTCTGTTTTTATTTTCCATCTCTTTCTATAGGCTACTTCTGTTTGTTTCTTCTGGAATCATGGGCAAAATAGAACATAAAACTTGGTTTATGTTCCTCTTCTGCTAATCCAGGAACTCATTTGGCTTTTATGGAAAGTACTTGTAGTAAGACAGACATTTATCAAACACCTGAAAGCATTGGCAGTAGGTGTGGCAGCCTTTACCGTTGTGGGGGGTGTGCAGGGGTGTGGGTGTGGCGTTGTAAGACCGTGGGCAACAGATTTAGACTTCTTGCCTCTGTCTCAGCTTGCAAGATAGTGAGAACAGTGCCTACCTCACAGGTTTTTTTGAGGCTTGGTTCCTTAACTTCTTAAAATAATGCTAATGGCCTCTGGAAGGTGCTACAGAAGTGCATAGCGTTACTGCCTGCAGGCTGAATACCATTGGTTTTTCTGGCAGTCTATAGGCCTGCCAC